TTCTTCACTAATGTACTTTTTCTTTTCCAGGACATGACCCCATATTGCCCTTAGCTATTATTTCTCCTTAGTCTCTTCCAATCTCCACAGACTTTCATATAGTAATGGTGTTCAAATGCTGCCATAACACATGATCACAAATTTAGCTTAAGATGAAACACATTTATTATCTCAGTTTCTGTGGATCCAAAGTCCACGGTTTGGCTGGGTGCTCTCCTCAGGGTGGTCTCATAAAGCTTCAAACAAGGTGTCATCTGGGCTGGCTGTGTTGTCATTCATGGGCTCAACTGGGGAAGAATCTGCTTTCAAGTTAATTCAGATTGTTGGCAGAATCCATTTCCTGTGGCTTTANTCCTCTCTCTAGCTGCCTTTAAAACTCTGTCCTTGTCCTTGATCTTTGCCATTTTAATTATTATGTGTCTTGGTGTTGTCCTCCTTGGGTCCCTTCTGTTGGGAGTTCTGTGTACTTCCGTGGTCTGATCGATTATTTTCTCCCCCAGTTTGGGGAAGTTTTCAGCAATTATTTCTTCAAAGACACTTTCTATTCCTTTTTCTCTCTTCTTCTGGTACCCCTTTAATGTGGATATTGTTCCTTTTGGATTGGTCACATTAATATTGTTCCATTCCTTGAGATCATTTTATCTCTCTCTGCATCAGCTTCTATGTGTTCCTGTTCTCTGGTTTGTATTCCATCAATGGCCTCCTGCATCTTATCCATTCTGCTTATAAATCCTTCCAGAGATTGTTTCATTTCTGTAGTCTCACTCCAGACATCATCCCTTAGTTCTTGCATATTTCTCTGCAGCTCCGTCAGCATGGTTATGACCTTTATTTTGAATTCTTTTTCAGGAAGATTGGTTAGGTCTATCTCCTTCTCGGGGGTTGACTCTGTTATTTTGGTCTGTATCAAATTCTGCTTTTTCATGGTGATAGAGATAGTTGTGTGGAGCTGGCGCTTGTGATGGCTGGGAGAATGTCCCTTCCTGCTGGTTTGTGGCCTTCCTCTCCTGGGAGAACAGTGACCTCTAGCGGCTTCTGCTGGGCAGCTGCATGCAGATGGGGCCTCTTGATTCTTGCCTGGCCACTGTGGAATTTAGATCCAAGGTTGCTGTGGGCGTGGCCTGCCTCAGGCTGCTGCCCCAATATGGCGGAGCTGCGTCGGAGGGAGGAACGGCCAGAAGGCTATTTATATCTATGAGAGGCCTCTGAGCTGCACTGCTGCCCAGGCGGTTAGGGTGCCCGGAGTTCCCCGGTATTCCCAGTTCCTGGGCTGTGTCCCGGGACGCTTCCGTCCAGTTGTGGGGTCACTGTCCCTTGAAGACTTTCAAAAAGCACTCGCTCTTTTTTGTTCCTGGGGCACCAGCTGTGGGGACCTGCTCAAAGGTCTTACTGTCCTGTTTCCCTAGTTTCCAGCACCCCATGCATGCACTGTGTGTCTGAGTTCTGGTGCGGATGGCTAGGGCTGGGTGTTTAGCAGTCCTGGGCTCTCTCCCCCTCCCTGCTCCGACTCCTCTCCTCCCACCGGGAGCTGGGGGGAGGGGCGCTCGAGTCCCACTGAGCGGCGGCTTGTATCTTACCCCCTTTGTGAGGCGCTGGGTTCTCGCAGGTGTGGATGTAGTCTGGCTGTTGTCCTACGTCTTCTGGTGTCTCTTTTAGGAAGAGTTGTATTTGTTGTATTTTCAAAAATATATATGGTTTTGGGAGGAGATTTCTGCTGCTCTACTCATGCCGCCATCTTGGCTCTGCCTCTATANAGCTGTCCCTTCTTCCCCAGGAAAAGATATTTTGAACAGAATAAAAATGCTATAACCATAACAGAAAAAGATTGATAAATTAGCTCTGTTAAAATTAAGGCTGCTGCTTTTTCATTGTAAGACTTCACAAAGAAAGTAATAAGAAGCTAGAGGCTAACAAAAGATATTCTCTTTCTCTGTCTCCCTCTGTACACACACACACACATGCACACATTATGTTTATGTACACACACAGAAGATGTATATTCAAGACATACAAAATTCCTACAGATCAACAGGAAAATGACAAAAAATAAATGGATAAAAGATTTGAGTAGACACTTCATAAAAGTATATCAAAATGTGTAATATCATATGAAAAGATGCTCCCATCATTATTTATCAGGAAAATGCAAATTAAAATCACAGTAAGATGTTACTTATTACACATGCATCAGAATGACTAAAATTCAAATGACTGACAATATCAAGTGTTAGCCAGTTTGAGAAGTAACTAGATACCATTTCTTGCTGTAGGAGTGTAAATTAGGTCATCCACTTCTACCCCAGGTATATACCCAGAAAAAAACAAAAACATGTCCACAAAAAGACCTGTACAAGAATGTTCATGGAAGGTTCATGCATGATAGTGAAATACTGGAAAATAGCCATCATCATGAAAATGAATAAACAACATGTGGGATGGTCATGCAATGGAACACTACACAACAGCTCAGGTAGAAAACCTACCAATCCACAAATAACATGAATGAATCTCCAAAGTATAATTTTGGACAAAAGACAGAAGGTACAAGGGATTCCATTTATATGAAGTTCAAGAATAGGCAAATCTTATCTTGAGTGACAGAAGTCAGATTAGTGTTTACTTCCTGTTGGAGAGACATAGTTCTAAGGGACAGGACATAAGACACTCCTCCAAGGGGGACAGAAATGCTTTGTCTTGATCTGGGTGGTGTTTTCAAATGTAAAAATGCATTGAGGTATATACACAGCCAAGGTATGTGTACTTTATTTTATGTAGTATATATTTCAATGAAAAAACAATGATACAGGCCTTTATTTGATGATAATGGATAAAAACATTATATTACAAAGATGTGATCCTGTTACAGCAGGTAAACTAACATGCATGAATAGATCCATGTGCCTTCAGAGTGAAAGAAAAGATTTACAGTAAAATGTTTATAGTGTTTGACTCTTTACAACAGGCTCCTCTGTATTTTCTTAATTACTGCATGTGGATGTATCACATTCATAATAAAACTGTACTAGAGCTAATCATCCTCTTTGAAATTAGAAGGTGAAATAAAAGGAGATATGAATATGGTGATATTTGGGGTATGATGGTTTGGCTTTATTTTCTCCAAAGGCTTCAAGTTTTTGAAATCATTGTCTCAAATTAGAATATCAAGGTTCTGAGTCTTGCGTAATGAGCTTTGCTACACAATAGATTTTCCTTTACTGGTCTCCCAACTCACCTGGTCAAATCCTCTCATCACTATACTCTCCAGCGAGTAGGCCTGGACTCCTGGTTCCAATTCAGGAACTATACCTGGCTTGGAAAGGAAAAAAAAAACGGTGTATAAAAAAAATGGAACTTATGGCATGCTGTGACTATCAACAAATTCAGATACAGTCCTGTGGTTACAGAAGCAGAGAGGTCCAGCCAACGTAGGGCCAAAAGAAAGCCACTCAAGGGACCCGGAGGACATTGCAAGGAAAACAGAGTAGAACAATCAATGGATCTCAAATTCCTCATAAATTCAAACACTCCCAAGAGGGGCACATTACAAGAATCAAACAGCTCCGGGGTCATATTTTGAATATGATGGTTTGATCATAAAGGCTCTGCCCCTGTGATTTTTCAGTATCACATCTGCGTATGAGTTTTTCAGAGATGGTATAGTCGTCAGTAGTGCACCCAAGAGAGGTCATTGCCCCATTCCTAAATGTCACTACCTCTGAAATTACAAAGACCAAAGGTCCCATTTGGTCCTGAGAAGTTGGAAGAAATCAAGTTGATCAAGATATGGAAGTAGGACAGCACGTAGAAGCAGGCTTAGTCAGCATCACGAGCTCACCAACAGCTGACTGGTTAAATGGGTAACAGAACATCCATCTAATGAAATATTAAGCAGTCCTTAAATGCTAAGTTTGAGAAACTGTTAAGGGAACGAAAAAGTTCAAAATATAATGTCAGGAATGAAGTTAGGTTACAAATGTTTAACTCAAAAAGTGGGCAAAGAATTGGATAGGCATTTCTCTAAAGAAGATACACAAATGCCAATAAGCACATGACCAGATGCTCAGTATCAAAAGCCAAGTCAAAACTGCAAGGCTCATGTCATACCAACTAGAATGGCTCTAATAAAANCATGGAAGGTTCATGCATGATAGTGAAATACTGGAAAATAGCCATCATCATGAAAATGAATAAACAACATGTGGGATGGTCATGCAATGGAACACTACACAACAGCTCAGGTAGAAAACCTACCAATCCACAAATAACATGAATGAATCTCCAAAGTATAATTTTGGACAAAAGACAGAAGGTACAAGGGATTCCATTTATATGAAGTTCAAGAATAGGCAAATCTTATCTTGAGTGACAGAAGTCAGACTAGTGTTTACTTCCTGTCGGAGAGACATAGTTCTAAGGGACAGGACATAAGACACTCCTCCAAGGGGGACAGAAATGCTTTGTCTTGATCTGGGTGGTGTTTTCAAATGTAAAAATGCATTGAGGTATATACACAGCCAAGGTATGTGTACTTTATTTTATGTAGTATATATTTCAATGAAAAAACAATGATACAGGCCTTTATTTGATGATAATGGATAAAAACATTATATTACAAAGATGTGATCCTGTTACAGCAGGTAAACTAACATGCATGAATAGATCCATGTGCCTTCAGAGTGAAAGAAAAGATTTACAGTAAAATGTTTATAGTGTTTGACTCTTTACAACAGGCTCCTCTGTATTTTCTTAATTACTGCATGTGGATGTATCACATTCATAATAAAACTGTACTAGAGCTAATCATCCTCTTTGAAATTAGAAGGTGAAATAAAAGGAGATATGAATATGGTGATATTTGGGGTATGATGGTTTAGCTTTATTTTCTCCAAAGGCTTCAAGTTTTTGAAATCATTGTCTCAAATTAGAATATCAAGGTTCTGAGTCTTGCGTAATGAGCTTTGCTACACAATAGATTTTCCTTTACTGGTCTCCCAACTCACCTGGTCAAATCCTCTCATCACTATACTCTCCAGCGAGTAGGCCTGGACCCCTGGTTCCAATTCAGGAACTATACCTGGCTTGGAAAGGAAAAAAAAAACGGTGTATAAAAAAAATGGAACTTATGGCATGCTGTGACTATCAACAAATTCAGATACAGTCCTGTGGTTACAGAAGCAGAGAGGTCCAGCCAACGTAGGGCCAAAAGAAAGCCACTCAAGGGACCCGGAGGACATTGCAAGGAAAACAGAGTAGAACAATCAATGGATCTCAAATTCCTCATAAATTCAAACACTCCCAAGAGGGGCACATTACAAGAATCAAACAGCTCCGGGGTCATATTTTGAATATGATGGTTTGATCATAAAGGCTCTGCCCCTGTGATTTTTCAGTATCACATCTGCGTATGAGTTTTTCAGAGATGGTATAGTCGTCAGTAGTGCACCCAAGAGAGGTCATTGCCCCATTCCTAAATGTCACTACCTCTGAAATTACAAAGACCAAAGGTCCCATTTGGTCCTGAGAAGTTGGAAGAAATCAAGTTGATCAAGATATGGAAGTAGGACAGCACGTAGAAGCAGGCTTAGTCAGCATCACGAGCTCACCAACAGCTGACTGGTTAAATGGGTAACAGAACATCCATCTAATGAAATATTAAGCAGTCCTTAAATGCTAAGTTTGAGAAACTGTTAAGGGAACGAAAAAGTTCAAAATATAATGTCAGGAATAAAGTTAGGTTACAAATGTTTAACTCAAAAAGTGGGCAAAGAATTGGATAGGCATTTCTCTAAAGAAGATACACAAATGCCAATAAGCACATGACCAGATGCTCAGTATCAAAAGCCAAGTCAAAACTGCAAGGCTCATGTCATACCAACTAGAATGGCTCTAATAAAAAAGACAGTAACAGGTGTTGGTAAGAATGTGGAGAAATTCCCACCACCTCATGCACAGCTTGTGGGAATATAAAATTGTGCAGATGTTTTGGAAAGCAATATGACAATTCCTCAGAAGAGTTACCATATAACCTAGCAGTTCCACTCCTAAGTATATACTTAAGAGAAATGAAAACCTATGTCTATACAGAAGCTTGTACGCAAATGTTTACAGCAGCATTATTCGAGACATCTAAGAAGTAGAACCAACTCAAAATGTCCATCAACTGATGAATAAATAAAATGTGGTATATCCATAAATGGAATATTATTTAGTAATAAAAACAAATGATAATAAAATAGTAATAAAAATAAAGCAGACAGGCGGGGATACTAACCACTATACTAACAAGGAGCTGTTTAAAATGGTACTACCGCTTTTGGAAAGAGTATGCTAATTCCTCAAAAAATTAGAATTACCATTTGATTAATCAATTCCAGTTAATGGATATATAAACAAAAGAATTAAAAGCAGGGACCCAGATATTTGTATATTAATGTTCATAGTAGCCAAAAGGTTGAGATATGTCCATCAGTGCATGAATGAATAAACAAATTGTGGTAAATATATACAATGGAATATTATTCAGCCTTAAAAAAGAATGAAATTCTGACATATGCTACAACATGGATCAACTTTTAAGACATGCTAAATGAAATAATCCAGACACAAAAGGACAAATATTGTGTGGTCCCACTTACATGAGGTACTTAGAGTAGTCAAATACATAGATATGGAATGTAGAACAGCAGTTACCAAGGGCTTGGAGGAAGAAAAATGTAAAGTTATTGTTTAATGGGTACAGAGTTTCAGTATGGAATAATGAATGGGCTGGAGATGGATAATGGTGGTGTTTGCACAACTATGAATATACTTATCACTACTAAATTGTACACTTAAAATGGATAAATGGTAAAAGTTGTTATGTATGTTTTATCACAGTAAAAGAAGAAATACAACTGATGTGGTTATGTTAATATCAGACAATCTAGGCTTTAGAAAAAAGAGAATTACTAGGGATAAAGTGGCATATTACACCATTATGGGGGGGTTCAATTTACTAAGAAGACATACAATCCTAAATGTGTAAGCTCCTAACAGAGCTCCAATATACATGAATCAAAAACTGATCAAAATTGAGAGAGAAATATGCAATGAGAAATTAAAACTAAAAATGCTACTTATACTACCATTAAAATTATGAACTAATCCTAAATAATTTGTGTAGCTACAAGTCCCCATTTCCTTGGTGTGGGCTACACACAGTGACTTGCTTCCAAAGAATAAAATATGGAAAGAGGGGAAAAAGAGAAACCTTACAGTGGAGAAACTTGACAAGTCCTACTTACATAAATAAAATCAGAAATGAAAGAGGAGACACTACAAATGGCACCACAAAAATACACAGAATCATAAGTGACTAGTATGAACAATTATATGCAAACAAGCTGGACAGCCTAAAAGTAAAGGATAAATTTCTAAAGCACCCAACCTACCAGGACTCAATCAGAAAGAGTAGAAACCTGAACAGAACAATAATAATGAGATTGAATCAGTAATCAAAAATCTCCAAACACAGAAAGGTCAGGACCAGGATTCACCAGTGAATTCTACTAAACTTTTAATGAAGAATTAATACCAATCCTCAAACTCTTCCAAAAACTGAAGAGGAGGGATCACTCCAAAACCCCATTTTATGACACTAGCATTACCCTAATAGTAAAGTCAGAAAAAGACATTACAAGAAAAAGAAAATGGCAGATCAATATCCCTGCTGAATGTAGATGGAAAAATTATCAAAAAAATATTAGCAAACTGAGTTCAACAGCTGAATTAAACTGAATTAAAAGGATCATACACCATGAGCAAGTAGGATTTATCTCTGGAATGGTTCAACATTTGCAAATCAATACATGTGATAAACTACATTAATAGAATGAAAGATAGAAATCATATGATCATCTCAATAGACAGTCAAAATGCATTTGACAAAATACAACATCCTATCATAATTAAAACCTCTCAACAAATCTGGTTATAGATGGAACATACCTCAACACAGTAGAGGCCATGTGCACCAGAACCACAGCTAACATAATACTCAACAGTAAAAGGTTGAAAGCTTTTCCTATAAGATGAGGAATAAAACAAGAGCCAGCTCTGACCACTACTATTCAACATAATACTGGGAGTCCTCTAGCAGAGCAATCAGGCAATATAGAGAAATAAAGCATCAGAATTATAGAGGAAGAAGAAACATTGTGTTTGTTGGCAAATGCTATGATCTCATATATAGGAAATCCTAGACTCCACAAAAAAACTGTTAGAACTAATTAATGAATTCAGTAAACTTGCACTGTACAAAATCAACATACAGAAATCAGTTGCATTTCTATACATTAACAAAATATCTAAAAAACAAAAAAAGTTCCATTCATTAGAGCATCAATAACAGTAAATTTAAATGAGGCAAAAGACTTGTATACTGAAAACTATAATACTTTGGTGAAAGAAACTGAAGTAGACACAAGTAAATGCAAAGATATCCTGTGTGCATGGATAAGAATAATTAATATTGTTAAAATGTTCCTACTACCCAAAGCCATCAATAGATTCAATGCAATCCCTATTGAAATCCCAATGGAGTATTTCTTTTCCTCAGAAATAGAAAAAAAGTGATCCTTAAAAGTTGTATGGAACCACAGAAGACCCCTAATAGCTAAGGCAGTCAGGAGAAAGAACAAGCCAGAGGCATCACATTGTCTAATTTCAAGCTATAGTAATTAAATTCAAAGCCAGAGTAATTAAAATAGTATGGCACTGACATAAAATTAGACACACAGACCAATGGAACAGAATCAAGAGCTAAGATCATATATGATCAATTAATATATGACAGTTGGGTCAAAGACACTCAATAGGGAAAGGATGGTCTCTTCAAAAAATAGTGTTGGGAAAACTGGATAACCACATGGAGAAAAGTGAAATTGGACCTCTACTTGCACCACTCACAAAAATTAACTCAAAATGGATTAAAGACTTAAACATAAAACTTGATACCCTAAAAATCCTACAAGAAAACATAGGGAAGAAACTCCTTGACCCTGGACTGGGCAATGAGTTTTTGGATATGACACCAAAAGTACAAGCAGCAAAAGCAAAAAATTAGTGAGACTACATCAAACTAAAAAGCTCCTACACTGTAAAGGAAATAATTTTTTTAATAATGAAAAGACAACCTATGGAATGGGAGAAAATATTCGCAAACCATGTATTAGATAAAGGGTTAATATCCAAAAAAATTAAGATCTCATAAAACTCAATAACAAGAGTTCAATTTTTAAAAATGGGCAGAGGAAGTAGACATATTTCCAAAGACATGCAAATAGCCAACATGTACATGAAAAGATGCTCCTCATCACTAATCATCAGGGAAATGCAAATGAAAACCACAATGAGATGCCACTTCACACCTGTGAGAATGGCTATCATCAAAAAGACACACATTGGTGAAGATGTTAAGATAAGGGAACACTTGCACACTGCTGGTGGGAATGTAAATTGGCTCATTACTACAGAGTTTCCTCAAAAAAAATTTAATAATAGAACATGGTATATAACAAGTCTACTTCTGAGTATATATCCAAAGGAACTGAAAAGAGCAGTTTGAAGATATGTGCATTCCCATGTTTACTGCAATACTGTTCACAATAGCCAAGATATAGAAACAACCTAAGTGCCTGTCAGTGGATGAACAGATAAAGAAGTTGTGGCATATAGACAATGGAATATTATTCAGCCACAAGAAAGAAGGAAATGCTGCCATTTGTGACAATAATGGATGGATCTTGAGGGCATTATGCTAAGTGAGAAGTCAGAGAAGGACAAATCTTGTATGGTATCACTTACATGTGGAATCTAAAAAGTTGAACTAGCAAAAAAGAGTAGAATGATGGTTACCAGAAGCTGGTGGTAGGGGAGTTGGGCATATGTTAAGGTTACAAATTAGAAACTGGAAGTAAGTCCTGGAGAGCAAATGCACAGCATAGTGATTATAGTCAGCAATACTATATTATAAACTCCAAAGTTGCTAAGTGTGGGTAAAACTGTAACATTTCCAGAATATCTTACCTAGCTTTAGTATATCTGCATATCAGTAGGCGTTCAGAGGTGGAAAGAAGTATGGCTTTAGTGCATTTGCATCATTCCTCAGGGATGGAGAGTTCATCTCATATCAATGGGTAATTACCTGGGCAAGGGGGGCTGCTTATCTGTACCTGAGAGGTGAGGGGAGGGCCAGTTTCACTGCTGCTGGAGCAGGAGAGAGAGAGAGGGGCTGGACTGCAGTTTTGTAAGCAATAAACGGATTTTAAACTTTATTTCTCCCTTTGACTGATTTCAGTTTTTAGAGATATTTTGCCCCAGGATTTCCTCTCCCCAGACTTACATCAGGCACAGCGAGCAAGATTCCTCTGAACCCAAAACCTGTTATAATGGGTGCGACCTTTCAGCAGGCCGCCCCTAGAAATGATGGGGAGAACTGGCGCTCGCGCCGAAGGACACATGTCTACCGTCATGTGGTCATGGAGGCACCACCACCACCGCTGCTGGCCATGCCAACCCCAGCCTGGGGCACAAGCCTAAGACCACTGCTGCTGCTCCTGCTGTCGGCCGGAGCCTGGTCACAACTATGGAAAGAAGCAGAGGTCTGGGTCACCTTGATAGAGAAGCAACTGACTGCTGTGTACCACACCTTGCTGGCTACAGAGCCCACCGCTGGAACAGCTTCAACCAAGGTAATACTATCCCATTGTGGGGTGGGTGAGACTAGACTCAAAGGCCATGGAGTGCTGTGGCACAGACACCTACCGTGTATCATGTGACTAGACATTTGCCTTTGGCATCCCCAGGGAATAATGAAGCAGATGCATTGGCCCAGGTGTGCTGACTAGAAGGAAAGTCTGCCTCTGATGTGGCCCAATAGCTACACAAGCATTTGTTGCACATGGGGCAAAAGACAATGTGGGCTGTAGCCCGTCGGTGGGGCTTGCCATTGACTTTTTAAGAAGTCAGCCAATCCTGGAAGGAGTGCCCTGCACCATGTGCAGATCAGCAAACCACCAATAGGGAACTTGAGTGTCTCTTTGTGCCTATGGCTGGTTGTCGGTGATTGAGAGTGATCAAGGCAGCCACTTTATCGGACATATGTTGCAAGGATGGGTGCAGCAATTAGGAGTAAAATGTATGTGACCTTGGACATTTCAACACATGGACCGGCGATGGCTGGCTCTTCTGGCACTTGGGAAAAAGGCCTGGAAGCTGGCCTCCTGTGTATTCCTGGAATAACATCAAAGTGGCCCCCCACAATCATGGTTATTTGCTTCTACAGTCCTTGTGTCCTGGATGAGCCCCCTGGCTGTAGCTGCCACCTGATGGCTGGAATGGATGAGCTTTGCATTTAATCTGCATGGGACTTTGAACCTTGAATCCTCTGGCTTGAGAATTATCATGATTGTGTTGCTATTGTCAAGAAAAAAGTACTTAAAGAGAGGCTTGACTTTGTCTAATGTTTGGTAAAAGTTTTGTGAGCAATCTATCATAGTTGTTAGGAATGAGTAAACAAGTGTAGAAATATATTTTGTGCTTAGTGAGAGATTTTGCTGTAAAGTACATTTACTGAATCTGTATGGCTGAATCCTCTGGTTTGAGGATTATCAAGATTTTATTGCTATTGCTATTTTATGTTATTAGATAGGTTGGAAGAGGGGGAATGAGTAAATTGTAAGGCGAGATTTCTGGAGGGGTGGCCTGTGGGTAAAACTGTAACATTTCCAGAATATCTCACCTGGCTTTAGTATATCTGCATATCAACAGGTGTTCAGAGGTGGAAAGAAGTATGGCTTTAGTGCATTTGCATCATTCCTCAGGGGTGGAGAGAAGTTCATCTCCATATCAATGGGTGATTACCTGGGCAAGGAGGGCTTATCTGTACCTGAGAGGTGAGTGGGAGGGCCGGTTTTGCTTCTGCTGGAGCAGGAGCGAGAGATGGGCTGGATTGCAGTTTTTTAAGCAATAAATGGGTTTTAAACTTTATTTCTCCCTTTGACTAATTTCAGTTTTTAGAGGTAGTTTGCTCCAGTATTTCCTCTCCCCAGACTTACACTAAGGCACTAGATCTTAATTGTTCCCACCATGAAAAAGAAATGAAAATTAGACAAGGTGATAGAAGTGTTAGCTAAAGCTAAGGTGGTGAGTACACCTTAAACTTACACAACACTATATGTCAATTATATTTCAACTAAAAAGGTCAAGAATTACGCATTGGTCCTTAATTTGAACTCAAAGAGTTTTTACAGGGTGGATCTATTCTACGCTGTAATATTTTCTTCAATTCCCTGCCACTGCAAGAAACTGTGAGAAACACACTCACTGGTCCAAATTCAGTAAGTGGACACGGAGACAAAGAGAACAGTGGAGCGAGGCTGTAATGACAGGTTTGCAAGATCAGGTGTCTGGTGAGCAGGTACACATGGGGAGACTGGCGCCAGTAATTTATCTCCTAGTGCGTGAGTCCCTTCCCTGGTTCCTCACTGGCTGAGTACTGCAGGGTTCACATTCTTTCCCGGATGTCACCTAAGCCAGTTATATCTTTCCCTTACATTTGTCTTAATCTTATTGGTAGGTTTAAAAAACTCCAATCAAACAGGTATAGCCAGGCCCTTACCAATTCCTCCACCCCCACCAGCACCCCCAGCCTGAGTATCTTCCACCATGTGGCCCTTTGTTAATACCTGTTAAAATGTTTAAACATCCTTGTGGGAATAAATCACATTTAGGTTTTATGCTCTTTCCTAACAGAAACTAACGTGAAGAAAATGCGGAGAATTTTGCTGCTTCTGTTTCATGGACTGCTAGATGGCTGCCATCTCCTTTTCATGGGACCTTGGTCATAAGTGAATCCAGGCCCATGTAATAAAGGCGGCTTGTTCAGCACCGCTCAGCCAGTCCCTTTTATAATCCATAAAAGGACGTTATTTCACACATGCTTCTGTGAGAGATTATTTTCCATTTATTTTTAATGTTTCCAACTTCTGTTGTGTGTAAAAGGAAACAGTGAGAAAAAGAAAACGCAAGCCGAATTGTACAGCGACACCATGGCTTACCTGGACTCCGTCTGCTAATTCAAAAGGAAAATTGCAGGCAGGCAGGAATCTCAGGCCTAGGAGGATTCTGGGACGTGTAGTAGAGGCGCTTTCGGCTCCGGGAAAGCCCAGTCGTGTTAGTTGCCTCGCTGGAGAACTAGGAGAGTATGATCCAGTGTCGGATGCATTTTCGCTGCGGGAGGGCAAGAAGAAGACCGCCCCTTGCAGGGATTCTGGGAAATTCGGTCCAGGCCGTCGGTGCTGGGGCGGGGCAGCGGCTCCTGTTCCCCTCGGGGATGCTGGGAAATGTAGTCGGAGCTGCGGGCTGTCGGAGGCTCTTCCGCTGCAAGAGGTTAAGATCGCGGCCTTCGTTTCGCTCTGGAAGGTGAGTGTTGCCCGGAATCCCGGGACCTCTTTTAACTTTTTGACCTGGGCGTGGGCGCAGCGGGCGCGGCCCTCCGTCGCAGGGAAGAAAAGCCTCGGTCAGCCGCCGAGAGCGGGGTTGAGGGGCGGGGGCGGCCGCTTGCTTTCCCCCCGCGGGAGCCTCTGCCTCTGGGGCGGTTCGCGAGTCGCAGGCTTCGAGGCAGAGCGGTATCCGCGGCTGGAGGGTCCGTGCTCTGCGCAGCCCAGCCCGCCTTCCCCCAACACCTTCTACACGCTCTGTCACTTTCTGGCGGCAAAGCACTGGGTAAGAACTTAGTCTTTGTGTGCCTCACTCCTTTTCTGTAAAGGGATATTACGAGTACTGATACATTTGTTTTGAGAAGTCTTCAGGCGTGCGGCAAGGTATTAACAGTAATGTTAATGCTGCTATAGTAAGTCCCCCGTACTCTGGAAGCTCCTCGAAGTGCCACCGGTTTTTTCTGATCCCTGCAGGAAAGAGGCTCTGCGACTGCTTCGGATCCGTTTTTAAAGGAGTGCATCACCCGCAGATACCGTGTGTTTTTTTTGTTTCTAGGACCACACACAAGACCGTGGTATCTCCCAGCCTCCTCTGCTTCCCCTGCCCTAACTTCTGAAAGAGGGCTGCGGAACGGTGGCCGCAGTCCGGGCCTCCTGGCAGCAGAGCCCCACCCTGACAGGACTTAGCATTCGTCTACCTTTTCTGCTTCAAGCGGTCGTGCGTATTTTATTCGTTAGCAAATGTTTCTGCTACAAAGATGTCCGGTTATTGTTAAATAATTGGGAACTTGTTTAAATAACTGTGTAGAACCTATACAGGGCATGAGTAATGGTGATAATAGTTAAACATTGAGTACTTAGTGTCATTTTAAGGGCTTTATAAAAATTACATCTAACCTTCACAAGGCCCTATGAAACGAATAGTGCTATTATCTCCATTGTACACATGAAAAGGTGGAGACAGAAAGAGCATATGTTACTTATTTTACATCACACTTCTCTAGTAGGAGCAGTGGAATTTGAGTCCAGGGCTCATGTTCCTTATAATTTTGGATATCCTTGGTCCCACAATTTAAAATCCTGAAATTGCAATTTAGGAAACAAAACACGAAAATAATGTATATAAATGTTCAGCCGTAGGAAACTGGATGCAGAGGAGTCATTTAGGATTAAGTTTTGTAGAGGATTTTGAAAGCAGGGTTAATGAGTTTGGACTTACTTAAAAAATTTCGGATACATTCTCAATTTTTTCAAACTATGTGTAGTTCATATTCTGATTATAGAAAAAATGTACACACTTTGTAGAGCATTCAGGAAATATATAAAGGAAAGCATTTGGAATTACCCATGATACTAGACTAGAAACAGTTTTTAATATTTTAATGCATTTCTGTTTAGCAGTTTAAAAATGTGTGTCGATCTATGTTTTACAAAATCATTGCACTATTCAGTTACCCCTTAACCCTTTAGTGTAGAAATTTCCACACATTGCCAAAGTGCAATATAATGAACTCCTATGTAACAATCACTCTGCTTCAATCCTTGCTAGAATTTTGTGGCTTCTCCTCTCCCACTGCACACGTTTTTTTCTCCTTGAGTATTTTAAAGCGAACTCAAATGTTGCATCAGTAGGATCTAGGTGTTGGCACGTTTGGTGTCCTCTGAGCCCTATTTGTCTTACAGATGGCTGTGTTCTCAGTCGTCTTCCTCTGTGTGCATGCTTCTGCTGTCCCTTTGTGTGTCCCAAATACTTCCAACAAGGACACCAGTCAGATTGATTTAAGGGTCCCCCCTAATAGCTTCATTGTAAGCTAGTCACCTCTCTAAATTCCATATCTCCAAATACAATCACATTCTGAGGTCCTGGGGTTTAGGACTTCAACATGTGAGTTTTAGTGGGTTACATACAGTTCAGCCCATAATGGAAATATTGACAGATACGCTAAGGTTTTCACTCTTGGCAATTAAGAGATGTTATTTATATGAGAAAGTTAGGAGGAGTTGCGGTTAGAGAAAGATAATGTTGGATTTTCTTTGCTCCTTTGGAGTCTCTCTTGCCACCGGCATATAATTCTTGGTTTCTTCTCTCCTCTAAGGCCGCATGGACCTCTGTTTCATGGACCTTGTCATATTCTTCTCAGAGTGCCCAGCACAAGGTCAGCAGAGAGGAGTAATTCAGTGAGTATGTATGATTCATGTAGCTGTTCAAAAGGGTGCTACAGCCTGGAACTAGAGAACAAAATAGAAAGATAGTCCATATTCCTCCTCTCTTCCCTTACTTTTGGTGGGCTGTGGAATACACCAACTTTTTCAGAGTATGCAGAAGTTGATGTACAATTATGCATAATATTGTCATGATCTATAACAAATTTCCTTAGAAACAAATCAACGTGAATGTTCAATTTTTTGTTTATTGCATGGGATTCATAAAGGGGATGAGAATAGCTTACATTGGGCACTTGTAATGACTCCGAGAACTTCCAGTGCTTTACATGTACTAACTCATTTATTCGTCACTATGATGCTATTATTGTTACTTAAAAATGAAGAAATAGGCACAGACAATTGAATAAATGACAGTCAGTAAGGGGCAGAGCCAGGATCAAACCTCAGCAGCTAGGTGTGAAACCGAGCTCTAGCACCCTGTGACTGGATTACCTTGGGCAAGCTCTTTAACTTCTCGTGCCCCATTTTCTTACCCATCTAGTAGGGGCAGTATCAATATCTACTTCCAGAAGTTTTTGTGACAGTTAAAAGAGATAGGATATGTAAAGTGCTTGAAATAGTGCCAGGCACATAATAAATCATCTTGTCTATTACAGACTAGAGTTGTCCTTGTCTGTTATAGATGCATATGCAACATGAAAGTGCAGCAAGTTATTGAAAGGGCAAAAGACTATTTTAAGATACTCTTTTCATCCCTGCCTTCTGCTTTTGATACTTCAATTCTGTCATACAGTTGAACAAAAATGACTAGTTCCTATAATAACCATTGTTTAAACATATAACACTCATTTGCTGTCTTTTGACCTTAAAGAGTTCATAGCGGGGTGGGGGAGTGCAGGGAGGGGGAGATTATGATATGGTCTCTTGCTTTAAAAAGGTCTAAGTTTGCACTATCCGATGTGGTAGCCATTAGCCAGTGTGACTGTTGAGCACCTGAAATGTGGGTAATGCTAATTGAGATGTGCCATAAGTTTAAGACACACAATGGATTTCAAAGACATAGTATTAAAAAAATGTAAAATATCTCAATAATTTTAATTTCGCTTGCAAATTGAAGGAATATTTTGGATATATGGGTTAAGTAAAATATATTAATATTGTCTTGCCAGTGGATTTCAGCCCTGGATAAGTTCACTGTGGATTCAGTGTGACCAAAGAAATGACAAGTAAAATGTTCTTGGGGTGAAGGGTTACACCCAACTTTATTTCCATGGTGGCAGGTCAATCACTAAAATCCCGTTTACTCAGAGCGAGTCTGCATGCAGCAAGCCAGTCTCTGCCTCTGGGCCTCTCTACCTGCACAACCATCCTCTGGGCCCCTCTGTCCTCGGCGCTCCCACCACTCCAGCCTCTGCTCTGCTCTCCTGCAGCCTTGCAGCCGTGCCACCCTTTAGCCCAGAGCACTGGGCAGGGCTCTCTATATAGAGTCAGTAACGATGCATTGCTCACATGTGTGTAGTGAGCTAGCCAACCAGGGCCAGGTGAGAATCTGCCCACAGGAATGTTCATTTTATCCACGCTCCACTCCTCCTAGGATTCTCTCCTCTCAGTCTATGTGCCTCTGCAGTGGTCCCTGTGCCAGAAAGCTGGAGCATTGTAACCAAATTCCATAATAACAACAGAGGCTATGACAATATACAAATAACAAAAATTACAATAATAACCCTCGAGCCTGCGGACATCCATTGCCACCAAGTGGTCATCCTGGCTGTATTCAAACCAGTTCTACTCAAATGAGTTAACCAAAAGGACCATGGGTGGGCCCTACAATACCCACCGTCAGCCTCTCAGCTAAAAATCTTGCAGACACACAGGCCGAATCTTGTTGCTTTCTCTCTGCCTTCTGCTTTGTCCTCAGCAGCCAGAACTGCTGCTCCTGTCTCAATTGTTGCCACAGCTTCAGACGTCCAATTTCTTTCTGTCTGCTCCTGCCTTTTCATAAGCAGAGTGTATTTCCTTTTGTGCTTGAGCCCTGAGGATGGCAGCAGAGCATGGAGCACTCCACAACCTGAGGGGGGCTGCACCTCTCCTGAAAGAACCTGTGGTTGCTGAGTCCCTCTGGCTTTCCACTAGCTTTCAACCGGGGGGTGGGGGGTCTCAATCGAGGAGGGGCTGACGCCTCTGGCACAGGCAGGGCCTCTACCCCCACCTGTTCATCAAACCTCCGCCCCTCCATTTCTGGGGCTGACGGCTCCACTACATCCTTCTCTTCCCCTTGGCGCCTGGCAGCCTGCGTGCGGCTGCTTCTCATGTGCTCCTTCTCAGGCCTCTTCCTGCCCCTGCCCCTTGGCACCTGGCAGCCTGCACTCCCACACTGCTTTTCCTTGGACCGCTCCTTCTTGGGCTGCTGCTCCTTCTCATGCTGTTTCCTCTTGGTCTACCTTGACATCTTTTACTATTTCCACAGCACTTTGTAGTGACGCCATTTTAGTCAGCAACAAATTTTCTTTCTCCTGAGGTGGACCCCCATCCTCCACCCCTTCACAGTACCACATGTCCACAGGGGGACCCTCGAATGTCTCCCCATCCATGGGTGCAGCCTGCTGAAACACTCCTTCCATGATGGCAGCCTGTTCTCTGGTCACCAGTGAATCCTGCCAACTACGCCAATTGTCTTGCCAATGGGTTTCAGCCCCAGGTAAGTTCACTATGGATTCAGTGTGACCAAAGAAATGACAGTAGAATGTTCTTGGGGTGAAAGGATTATACTCAACTTTATTTCCACAGTGGCAGGTCAGTCACTAAAATCCTGCATGCAGCAAGCTGGTCTCTGCCTCTGGGCCTCTCTACCCGCACAGCCATCCTCTGGGCCTCTTGGCACCACGACCACTCCAGCCTCTGTTCTGCAGCCTTGCAGCCGCCACCGTGTTGCCCAGAACACTGGGCAGGTCTCCTTATATAGAGTCAATAATGACACATTGCCCACAGGTGTGCAGTGAGCTAGCCAACCAGGGCCAGGTGAGAATCCTGGCCACAGGAACTCTCATTTTATCCACAATATTAAGCTCACTTGTTCCTTTTTACATTGTTTGATGTGGCCACTAGAAACATTTAAATCACACATGTAGCTTGCATTATATTTCTGTGGGACAGCACTGGTCTAAATGGAAGCCTCCCTTTTCGCTCTGAGAATTTGTCTTCAGGGGCATTTACAAGTCATTCTTGCTTTTTAGACCTCCAAGGGCACCTTACAATGGAGAGAAGCAGGGAGTTGGCAATCAAGAGGCCTGAGTGCCAGGCCTGGCCCTGCCCTTGGCTTCATGGGTGTCCTTGGGCAGTTCAGGTAACCCCTTGAGAGGCATAATGGAATAATATAGTGGTTCTGAAACTTTGGTCATGTCAGAATGATCTGGGGAACTTGGTAAAAAATATAAAGGCCATAAAGACCCAGGACTCTTACTGTATCAATGGGTCTAGGCTTCTGTGTTCTTTATTAGCTTCTGAGTGATTCTGATCCTGTTCTGGTCACCTATTCACCATGTTTAGGAAGAAGTCCCTGCCTTAAATAGTATGAGATGGCTCAAACCATGACACCTGATAACTGGGCAGGTGAGATGGGCAGCAGTTTATTAGTTACATACTCACCGCCTGGGGCAGGAGGATGCTACACACCATGCAGGGCCATAAGGGATTGCACTTGGAATAGAATGAACCAGCAGGGGCTGTGGTAGGTGAGCTTTGTAGTAATAGGAGGGTTCGTACTATCTGTTGAAGTGACGTGACTGGGCAATGAAATCATAGCGTGGTATGGTGGTAGGGATGCAAAAATGAAGATGTTTAACAACCCACCTCCACCGACCTGATTTGATTAGTTATGGATAAGGCCTGAGCTTTCTTTTTTTTTAAAGTTTCCCTGTCAATCTATAATGTTCTGCTAGAGTTAAGAACCACTGTCCTAGTAGATAAGGCTCTGGGTGAAAATCTTGACTCTTACTGGCCACTGGTTAATCATGAACCAAATTACTTCTCTATGCCTCAATTGTCCTCATTTGTAAAATGGGGATAATTACTATCTCAATCTCTAGAGTTGTTAGGACAATTAAGTGAGCTGCTGCATGTAAAGCATTCCTGTAAATGCTGCGTTAGTAGGTGGTAAGCAAGCTGCTATGTCAGCTACCGTGATGATTATTGGGAGTATTTTACGAACAGCCCAGGTTTCCCTTGTGGGTGAAATTAGCTGTTTAAAGTTGATCTTGGTACACCTTCAGATCCTAACTTTCGTTCTAATCCTATTCATTAGGATCAGAGAGAAGCTTGCAATTTGTGATGACCGTCCTTAATTTTTTTGCCCTTAGGCCATAAGTGTACATAAGTTTGGGATTAGTAGAAAAGCTGAAGGTGAAGAACTCAAGTCCTTAGTCTGAAAATATCCGGAGGGCTGTTTTTGACTGATGCTACTCAAATTGTGATCCAGGGACAAACATCCTCAGCATCCCCTGGGATATTGTTAGAAACATAGATTCTTAGTCCCCATAATTGGTCTTCTGATTAAGAATGTCTCTGAGTGAGACCTAAGCACTTGCACCTTCACAGCGCCCCTTAGTTGCTCCATGGAACATTAAAATTTGAGAAGCACTGGTGGAGAGAACAGACTTGTGGTGGTTTTTTAACAAAAAATATTTTCTTCTCCCGGCTAAGTTACACGTCCTTCAGATATTAGCTGTCTGGATGGCTGTCTCTCCTGTGGTTTACGTCTCTGCTCTAATGTAAGAGAAGCCTTCTACAGCAATCTGTAACAGCCCCTCCTTCCATCTCTTCTTATCCTGTTTACTCTGTCTTATTTTTAGAAAGTATCTCTCACTATACTATCAGTTGGTTATTGCCCTCATGACCCCATGAGCTCTATGACATCAAGGTCTTTGCCTGCTTCATTCACCGCTGTGTCTTTCACGTCTAGGACCCTTGGCTGGCACAGCATAGGCCCTCAATAATTTTATGTTGAATCAATGATGCAGGTGATAAACAATGGGGCCCTGACCTGTATGATGCTGTTGATTCTGTAGATCTTTGTTGAGTCACCCCCACCCCCAGGTGCTTGCCACAACATACCAGGTTTTGGGGATGCAGCAGGAAACAAAAGTCCGTGCAGGACAGATGTGATGAATATAAATAGGCAAAATACTGAGCAGAATGTTAGAGAGTGATTCATGCTAAAGAGAAAAGAATCAAGCAGGGATTGGGAATAAGAAGTGTTGGGGTGTGATTGGCAGATAGAAATTCTCTCCTGCCCAGGGATGAACTAAGGAGGGACATGAATAAAGAAAGAAGTAATTCTTGGCGTAGCCCCCCACGAACGGTCTCTCTAGCCCCAGCCTTTCTCCTCTCCTCCTATCAGCCGGGAGAGTAACCTGTTCCCACCACAAAAAGAATCTCCCTATATTCTCCCTTCCTCAAGTCCTTGGCTGCTTCTCTGCTGACTTGCAGGTAAAACTGGGACTCACATCATCGTGGTTTGAATCCTGCCTTCTGCTCATCTTTTACTGCCTCTTGTTTATATCCACTCATATCATGACATTTGTTCTCTTGTGGTTTTTCAGGGATTCTGCATCTCTTTGGCTAACTCAGTCATCCTGCAGGACTCAGATAAGCCACGTTTATGTAGAACCCTCTCCAGTCGAGTCTGGGCCTTGGGGACCATACCTTGTGCTTCCAGAGGACCCTGTTCCCTGTTCAGGCACTTAGCAATGTGCAGTGTAAGTGCTGGTTTCTTGATCACTAGACTGTGAGCAAGTGGAGGCTGGGTAATTGTAACTCTTTTATAGTAAGGTTTCCATGAGTGCTTATTGAATTAATGAAATCATTTATTTAGTGAAGACTTAACAAAAGCCTGCCCATTGCTAATTATGTAGGCAACGAGATAGTTGTTCTAAATATTTTGATGGACACATGCTGTGGATTTTGTTAACAGGAGCCCCTGTAGGCAGGCACGGTCTTTGAACAGCAGGAAGCACCTCTCTGAGATGTTTTTTGTTTTTTAATCCAGAGGCTCTTTTCCTTCCAAAGCTGACCTTGATCTTGAAAATACCATGAAAGACCTAGAGGAAAAGCTTGGAAATAAAACCCCCAGTCTCCAAATTCAACTGGGCTCAATTCAGCTTTAGAATTTCACAACTCAGACCTGAGACCAACTAGGCTGGTCTTTCCATGTGCCTGGGCCTGTCACCTGTGGGGTGGTCATTCATCAGGACACTGACACTCACTGCAGAGTGTCTCCTGAGCAATTTCTCTGTTGTAAGCATTGTTTCAGGTACTTGACATGCAAAGCTGAGCAGGTATTCATCACAAGATTGGTTTACCAATTATGCACTGTCCCCCAGAAGTGATGGAAAGATCTCCTTGCAAAACACTCTTCATGAGAAGTCATCCTTGGGCAAATAAAGAGTCTGAACAAAATGAATTACAAATTCTAAAAGGGTATTTCTTCCAAGGCTGGAAAGTTGTACATTACCCTGTTCCACAGCAGGGTTCGTCTATCTGAAGTAGGAGGAATAACTAATAATAATTAACTAATAAGTAATAAATTAGCCAGTAATTAATGAATAATTATCTCTTAATCTGGGCATTTTACTCTTAATTTCCACCTTCCCCAGAATCTGAACCATACCCTGAGAACTACAAGGGGAACTTGCATTCAGGCCGTGGGTGTGGTTGGATGGGTTGTTCACTGTGCAGGGGCTCTCGGCTGAAGCGGGGGTGGTATCTGGAATCCAGCCCACGCTCTGCTCATCCAGCTGTGTGCAGCTACAGCCACCTAAAGAAAGGGTTCCTTGACTATTTCATGCCCACATGGGTAACATCCCTTGAATGTTTAAGCTGCCAGAGGCTGTTCCAAATGTTTTATGTATAGTCACTGAGACTGACTACCTATGAGTTGGTATTATTATTATTAGTCCCGATTTATAGATTAGACATTGAGACACAAAGTATTTACAAGTTGAAGACGGCAGCATTCAATTCCTATGAAATCCTCATTCCAGAGCCTACACCCTTCACAACTGTTCTTTTCTCCCGCAAGCAGATCCTTTGGCTTCAGAGTCCTCTCCCTGTTTTTGTGTCTTTCACCCCTAGCTCTCCAGCTCTCATTTCCCTTTCTGTGAGACCTGAAATTCCCATCTGCTTATTTTTGTCTTTAGAAGCAACAGAGAGACAAGATCTAGAATATTGGCTATGGCGGGAGACCTGGCTTCAGGTTCTACCCCTGCCTCTTAACCTCACCAAGCCTCAGCTTCCTCATCTGTTAAATGGGGGCAACAGTCAACATTGTCATTTATTGAGAGAGTCCTCAAATGCCAGGTTACAGTGCCAAGGGCAGGAATAAATTAGCTCATTTATGCTCCACAATAATCCAATGAGTAGCATTCTGTTCTTATCTCCTTGTTGCAGTTGAAGACAGGCACAGAGGGGTAGGTGCCTGGGCCAGAGTCACATGACCAGGACAGCGGCAGCTTCTTCACAGGTACGTGGAGGACTGAAACGATGCGTGCCAAGCCCTTGGCAAGGTCCCTAACAGGTACTTAGAGCTTATTTAATGCTAAACCTTGTCATTCTTGTTGTCTTGGTCATTACTGTCATTACTATAGCTTGCTGATTCAAGTAATATTTGCTTACCTAACTTACAGTTAAATCTTGTGACTTGCGGAATCACAAGATTTTACTAATTTTTCTTCATCTTCATGTTAGAATCTTTTAAGCCCCTACTGGTAACAGAGTAAATCTGGCAAGTCCTTACATCTTTTAAAAAAAAACTCATCCGTGTAGTCAAATTCATAGAGAGAGTAAAGTAGATTAGGGGTTACCAAAGCCTGAAAGGAGGGGGAGCAGGAGTCGCTGTTTAAGAGCACAGAGTTGCAGTGTGGGATGGTGGGAAAGCTCTGGTGGTGGATGGTGGGGATGGTTGTACAACAGTATGAATGCACTTAAGGAACTGTACACTTATACATTTTAAATGGTAAATATTATGTATATCACAGAAAAAAAGTCCATGTAGTCTTAAATATTGCAAAGACATAATATTAACTATGACAAATGAAGAAAGAGCAACGGATATTTCAGAGGTTAAAGGTGACTTTGGCAAGGCAGAACAACAGCCTGTAAAGGCTCCATTGATAGAAACCATTTATGAGGATAGGCTTTATGTTACTGCATATTGTCTGCTTTTCTGCAGCTACTACTAAGGTACCCTGAAGGTGTTTTATGTGCTTTCTGCCTTCTTATTGAATTCTTACAACAATCCTATGAGATAGGCATTGGTAACCCCTCCGTTTTACAGATGGAAGAATTGAGGCACAGAGAGATTAATAATTTGCCCAAGATTTCACAGCCAACATATAGCAGTGTTATGAACCTAGACATTTGGTGCCAGAAGTCACTCTTAACCTGGGTATTTCACTCAGTTTCCACCCTTCCTAGAATCAGAGTCGTAACCCTGAGAACTACAAGGAGAGCTTGTCCTCTGGCCGCGGTGTGTGGTTGGGTAGGTTGCTCACTGTGCAGCTGCACTGGTGAGTTGTATCTGGAGTCCCGCGCACGCCTTGCTCATCAAAGCACCCTGAGGACGGGGCACTGTTGCTATTTCACGTAAAGCAGAATATGGGTTAGCGACAGCCTTGGCCTGAATTTGATGGCTTTTCTCCTTCCTTTTTGCCTTCCCAAGACGTGGCCCTTCCCTAGAAGGAGGACAAAATGACCAAGTTCAAGGTGAGTCAGGCTTGCCTTTCTAGATTTTAAATTGTAATTTTATATATCAGCATTATTCAGACACCTCCTGTTTTTCTTTCTTCAAAAGGATTAAAGAGAACAGGAGGCATTTAGAAGAGTCATATGTACCAGAGGATCACTGCGTTTTAGTGGAGTTTAGTTTTCATCATTTTATTTCATCACCTTTTATAGTTTCATGATTAAGAATAGAGCAGAAAAGTCAATAGCAGTTAAAAAAAGAAACTGCTATTTTACTATTTTCCTTACAAAACAGCAGTTTTTGTTTTTCCATGAACTTTGCCTCATATGCATTCATAACTGTGTAGTTGTTATTGTGTAGTTAAAATTCTCAAATTATGTCTTTTCGAATTAATATTGTATACCTCCCTACATTTTTAATGGCTACATCATATTCCCTTGAATTGAGTACTCTGTGTGTGTGTGTGTGTGTGTGTGTGTGTGTGTCTCATAACTTTTCCCCATTCATGGACATTTAGGTAGTTGAGGATTTTTACTATTTTAAAGAACAGTGGAAGCTGTTTTCCTAATATAACTATTTCCTCAAAAAGGAATTTGGAAGAGTTTGACAGTTTCTTTTTAATGTTTTAGGAACTCTAAATTGAAAAGGCATATTTGGTATGCAGTACCTCAGGTATTCTGCATGTAGAATATTCAAATATGGCACAGTGTAACAGGATATAACTGATGCTTCACAGCGAGAAAATATTATCAGCTATTTTCACATAAATAAACTGGATTCTTTCTTACCTGTATCTGAGCCATATGATGTATGTATTTTATTTACTGATTGGTATTTTTATTTATATATTAATTTATTTTATCAAAGTAATAATGCACTTAATTTTAAAGTCCAGTAGTACAAGAGGACTTGTCAGGTGCTTTTCTTACTGCATTTAGTCTCAGATCAACCTTATGAGGAAGTACTTGGTCTCATCAGCATTTTAAGTACAAAGAAACAGGATTATAGAATTTTAGAAAGCTGCCTAAGTTCACACAGGAAACCAAAGGTCCAGGTGACCCAAAGATAGTCCCAGGATTTTTACTCGGATAGAGAGAGGCAAGGGAAAAGAATTCTCCAGTCAGGGCGTGGGCCCCTTCTGCGAGGCGCCTCGCTGTCCTGGTGGGTGGAAGACACCGCAGGTAATACTGCCTCCACCCTGTCGTCCTCCAGCAACCCCTTCTTCTCTAGGACCTCTCTTGCTCAGTTAGGGCACTGGCTGTGCAGGGCTCTGGTGATAAACAGCCTTCATTGTAAAGTTAAGACTGTGCCATACAACAGTGAGTCTCAGTCATGGGCTAGTTTGCCCCCAGGCAACATCTGGAACACGTTTTGGCATCACAACTTGAAGGATGTTACTGGTGTCTAGGGCGTGGAAGCCAAGGAAGCTGCTAAATGTCCTCTAATGCACAAGTTAGCGCCCCCGCCCCACCCCCATGACAAGCCATCATCTGGCTTAAAATGTCAGTAGTGTCAAGCTGTGTACAGCTGTTTACAAAGATGTACAAGAACAGAGCAAAATGTGGGTGAAAATATATGTGATACGTATGCTTAAAAAAGTGCTTAAAAAATTTAAAGTCGTAAGATAAAAACCTCAACTGAGTGTGAACAAAGAGCATTAACAGGTAAGACACCAAATTGAGAATAAAGATAGCGAGTAAATATATGAAATTAGGATAACTCATTACCAAAGAAGTACAAAAACCAAAATAAGTTGTTTTTTTAACTGATCAGATTGCCTCAGATTTTAAAACATCAGTCATATTCATGTCGTGTATGGTGTGGAGAATCCGGGAATACTGCCCTTCTTGTGGGGGAAGGACAAATAGGAGAAGGTGAAAAAGAAAACCTGCCAGTTGTACATAATAATTTTGAAGTTGCATATTCCTTGACATTGCAGTTTTCACTTATCCGAAGAAAATAATTAGATGGAGGCTAATGTCTATGTCAAAAGTTCTGTTTGGCATTTATTCTGAAAATAAAAAATCTAAAACATGATATCTGAGGTACTACATATCAAAGGTGCCTCTTCAACTTAGAGTTCCCAAATACATTAAATATTATTTGGAATATCTAACTGTATTATAGTAAGTTTAACTCCGGTCTCTTAGAGTCTGGAACCACTTCCTATACGTCCTTTCTAGTTTTCTCTATCTTTCTTCCAATGAACCTTTGTTGCAAGATTTCGGTGGAGTGTGTTTGGTGTTACAGGAGGCAGTGACGTTCGAGGACGTGGCTGTGGTCTTCAGCGAGGAGGAACTGGGGCTGCTGGACGCCCCCCAGAGGCAGCTGTACCGAGACGTGATGGTGGAGAACTTCAGGAACGTGGTCTCAGTAGGTGAGGACAGGCGCCCTCTCTGACTGAGCCTTCTGTGGTATTTGTATGTCCCTGGATGTGTGGGCTTTTGGAGTTCTTGTACTGGCTTCCCATTTTCTCGTCAGCATAAGACACAGAGATGGCATGTTTCTGGCCTTTCTCCCCCAGCTAAAGTGTGTGTTATGTAAATGAACTGTGAATTGATAGCATGATGCTCTACATTTTTGGTCTTTCTCAAATTGGTTGTCTCCAATTAGTGGGTCATGACACACTTTAGGAACTTGTACCAGCATTTTTTAATGAAATGAAATAAGGTAGAAAATATCAGTGGCTTTGGTAATAACTGCACATTGTCGGAAAAACTAAGGCCTGTGGCCAAGAATAGAGTGAGAAATGTTGGAGAGGTGGAGAGGGTGTGATGAAAATAGACCTTTTTTCCCAGTAATTTATACTTATGTCTACTGCAATGGCTGTGCTTAACTCCTTTCAGGTTCCCAATGTTTGGGGGTGGCAGGGAAGGCTCTTCCCATACACACACCACCAAGCAATTCGGGAACACCAGCAGGGTGTCTGAGAACTCAATTCTGATGCTATTTGCCCAGAGACAGCACCAGATTCCCCATGTTAAGGGCCCCGTCCTACAAGACTGCCCTCCACCCCCAACTCCAGATGCCGATCTCAAGCCCCAGGCAGTTCCCTGTGCTTCTGACCTACCGACTGCAGATTGGGGGGTCTAACAACCACCCTCTTTGGTTCAATTAATTTGCTAGGGCGGCTCACAGAACTCAGGAAAACATATTTACCGGTTTAATAAAAGATACCATAAAGGATATAAGTTCACAGCCAGATGAAGAGAGACACAGGGCAAGGTCCCACGTAAAGGAACTTCTGTTGTCATGGAGCTTGGGGCCTGGCTCGGTGACACCTGGAGGTGTTCTGGGTTCCCCAAGTGTAGGAGCTCTTCTCTGGGGTTTTTGTGAGGGCTTCATTGCAGTCACACTTGATTAAACTATTGGCCATTGGCTGATTCAGCCTCCAGCCCCACCCTTGGGTGGAGGTCCAAAAGTCTCATTAACATGACAGTTTTACCTTTAAGACTGCAGTGTTTTTGGGAACAGTGGGTGAAGATCAAATATACCTGGGAAATAATATATCTCATCATATGATTGACCAAATATATATTTCTTATGACTCATACTCATACCCTGAGTTTTTACATAAAATGTATTTCTTTCAATGTGTCATAACAGAAAGTTTTGAAAACACAAATTTTGATGTCCTGAAGATGATACAGTGAGAACCACGGTTCTCAGTAATGTTGGCCTCTGATGTATTTACTTTAAATTCTGGCCCTTGCTTTTTCACAGGGCAGCAGTCCTTCACACTGGATGTCACACCCCAGCTGGAGAGAGAAGAAAAGCTTCGGATGATAAAGACAGCAACCCGGAGCCATAGGTTCTCAGGTGAGAATGGTGTGCCTCTGAATCTGTGCTGCTTCCTGTTACCTCCGCAGCTCTGACGAGAAGCTTCTAAATTTACTTCAGATTCCATGTAGCTCCCGGGGAAAGTGGTGTTCCTGGCCCAGGGTGAATAAACCAGTGTGACCAAAATCCTTCTAAGGAAAGGCGAGATTGGGGGAAGCCTATTTATTGCTCATGATGAGGCCCAGCTCCGTTCTTTCCCCCTGGCCACCACCCTCCCTCACCGTCTCTCCTGTCCCTGTGCATGCTCAACTCCTCGCCCACCTCTTCTGAGAGGAACTCTGTTGACAGATCCCTGGTGACTGACAGGCACCAGACCAATTATGCAACAGAAGGGAGGAGAGAACAGCCTCTCTCCACCCCTTGTCCCCAGAGGCTTTGGAAAGAAACACCTATTGATATGTAAAGGGACTAAGGCCAGGCAAGAGATTCTGGAAATATTGCAGTATTACCCCATATTCTGTAAAATGCAAGTACTTAAAATGGCTTATCAAGTCCCACCATTTGTTCCTCTTCCCGCATCCCTCTGTAAACATAACCTGTCACCCTCCCCATGTCAGTCTGTTCCATCCAATTTAGCCTCTCAGCTATGCCAAGCATGCCCCTGCCTTGTCACCCTCCTCTGTTCTTTCTCATAAGTGCCCTTGCACTCTGTCACCCTCCTGGCCCCTTCCTTACTTCACATAAGCCTCTCCTCAAACCACAGCATCATCAGAAAGGCTTCCTGTACCCACTGTCCCTAAGACCTTCCTCCTCCACTCTCCTTGCCCTTGTCTTGTCTTCTGCTATGTCTAAGCATTGATTACCACTTACCATATTAACATACATTTTTATCTTTATTCCCTCTGGAATACAATCTTCAGGTTAGGAGAAATTCTATTTTCTTTATAGCCTCATCTTCAGTGTATAGAAAAGCCTGTTACCTGTTTTTTAAGTTATGCGTGTGTGTGTTTCTGTATGTGTATATGTGAGTGTGTGTGTAGTTTTAACAAGCATTTTATACAAAGAAACCTTTGCGTACAAAGTACCACTATTTTTCTGTTCTGTTAAAGCTTGTCATAGGCTTCTAAATTTACTTCAGACTCACTGAGTCTTTAGCCTTTAGCTAAAAAACAATGATGTGGTTCATAGAGGAAAATATTTGTATCCACATACAGATTCAGATATAGAAACTCTGATTATATCAGTCAGAGACATTATTCCTGAGGCTCTAAATATTGACTCCTACTTGGGAAAGGAAGAATTTTACACACATAGGAAGAGAGTGCAAAAATTTTAGAAGCAATCAATCTGTAGGTCCCAGGACCATTTTTCTGCATTAAGCTTTTTTATCCTTGTCAAGTGATTCACGCCATGATTTTGTGATCGGTGTGATTTTCCCATCAGCAACATCCACATAATTTAGCCCTGCTCTGGTGAAGCCTTTAAACTTCCCAGCAAATGCTGTTTCTAATCCCTTTACTATTATGTGTAACTTAAGTTGAATCTTTTACCCTTATGGCATGGCTCAAACTCTCACAAGAGAACTCAAACTGGGATTTATTTATCCATTCAACATATATTTATTGAACAATGTATCAGACAGTGCTTTGGGAGTGGTGAAATAACAATATAAAATGCTCATCCTCACGGATCTTGCATTCAAGTGGGAGAAGATATCAAACAAAAAAGATACAGGACATATACGGTATGTCAGTAATATGTGCTGTGCAAAAACAAAATGGAGTGGGGGGGTGGAGTTTTCAGGAATGTAGAGTGGATGGGGAGAATTTACTATTTGAAATTGAACAGTAAAAAAGGCCTTACCGATAAGGTTTTAGAGACCTGAAAAGAAGTGAGTAGAAGCTATATGGCTAATTGGTGGAACAGAGTTCTAGAAGGACCTAACTCTTCCTATATAACATTGACTTTGAGAATCTGTACTGTGCCCTGTTTATTTCCTCCTCACAAATTCTTGCTCTGTTGTGAAAGACCAGCCTCTAATTTTTTCATTCTTCTTTCCCCTAGGGTTACAGAAACTTTATTGCCATGAGGTTCTAGAATAATGTATGTTAGTGCTGTAAGCCTCCTTCTCCCGGAAGGATATTTCCCAGCAGGAGGTGAAGGACCACTCTATGCTTATAGTCTGAACTTCAAGCACTTAGATGATAAGATATTTCCTCCCAAATGTGTCTTACAATCAATCCAGTGCCTCAAAGGCTCCTAATAGGGAGTAAACTTCCAGTAAAATAAAACAAAGGTTTTCAACATTGCCTGGGAACATCTTTGATAATCTGTCCATAAGACATTTTGAGCATTTTGATCTGATGTACATGCAGTAGGCAGAATTATGTGGCAGCTATTTATCAGATACCAGTTGCAGCAAAGAAGACAAGGCTTTTAGTAAGGTGCAGCTTTGTAAACATTCCCTAGGAATTATTTTTCTTGCTCTGCTGCCACCAGATTTCTAACTTGTGTCTCACTTACAAAACTTAAATGGATCTTGTTAACAAGTAGTTAATGGGAGCCTGGTGGACCACTGCCTGGTTTCTGTAGACATATAAATCAGAGTACATGATACATGATGATAAAAATAGAACCTTCTCCTTGTTCATAAAGTCTTAGGGCATGGGCCTAAGTTTGTAACTGACATCTCTGAATAAAGTGTCCATATACTCCTTCTCTAAATTCTCTTTATCTTTTTAGGAGACAAGAATCTAAATGACATGGAGACTCTTCAAGAAGTTCCATTAAGGTACCTGCCACATGAAGAGCTTTTCTGCTCACAAATCTGGCAACAGGTTACAAAGGAGTTAACCAGGTGTCAAGATTCCATGGTAAATACTCAAGGGACTGGATCTCAGTGGGAAAAACAAGGTGATGCCTTCTATAAAGATGAGGAGTTTGATAAAGGCTTTAACCAGAGTTCACATCTTCAAGTTCACCACAGAAACCACAGTGGAGAAAAACCCTACAAAGGGGAAGATTATGAGAAAGTTTTTATTCGGGGCTTTCATCTTCAAATTAAGCAGACAGCCCATGTAGGAGAGAAGCCCTATAAATGTGAAAAATGTAAAAACACCTTCCGTCGGCTTTCAAGTCTTCAAGCCCATCAGAGAATCCACAGTAGAGAGAAATCTCACAAATACACTACATCATGTAAAGGTTTCAATCAAAAGTCATTTCTTCATCATCCTCAGAGACTCCCCACTGGAGAGAATCCACACAGATATGAGGAGTGTGGAAGGAATATTGGGAAAAGCTCACATTGTCAAGCTCCTCTGATAGTCCACACATTAGAGAAGCCGTATAAATGTGGGGAGTGTGGACTGAGCTTCAGTCAGAGCGCATATCTTCAAGTCCATCAGAGAGTCCACATGGGAAAGAAACGTTACAAATGTGAAGAATGTGGGAAGGGCTTCAGTTGGCGTTCACGACTACAGGCTCATCAGCGAATCCACACTGGAGAGAAACCATACAAATGTGATGCATGTGGCAAGGGCTTTAGTTATAGCTCACACCTTAACATTCATTGTAGAATCCACACAGGAGAAAAACCCTATAAATGTGAGGAGTGTGGGAAAGGCTTCAGTGTGGGCTCACACCTTCAAGCCCATCAGATAAGCCACACTGGAGAGAAACCATACAAATGTGAGGAGTGTGGGAAGGGCTTCTGCAGGGCCTCAAATCTTCTGGACCATCAGAGAGGTCATACTGGTGAGAAACCGTATCAGTGTGATGCATGTGGAAAAGGCTTCAGTCGTAGCTCAGATTTTAACATTCATTTCAGAGTCCATACAGGAGAGAAGCCCTATAAATGTGAAGAGTGTGGGAAGGGCTTCAGTCAGGCCTCAAATCTTCTGGCCCATCAGAGAGGCCACACTGGGGAAAAGCCATACAAATGCAGTACTTGTGGGAAGGGCTTCAGCCGGAGTTCAGATCTTAATGTTCATTGTAGAATCCACACCGGAGAGAAACCCTATAAATGTGAGAAGTGTGGTAAGGCCTTCAGCCAGTTTTCAAGCCTTCAAGTCCATCAAAGAGTCCACACTGGAGAGAAACCATATCAGTGTGTGGAGTGTGGGAAGGGCTTCAGTGTGGGTTCACAACTTCAAGCCCATCAGAGGTGCCACACTGGGGAGAAACCTTATCAATGTGAGGAGTGTGGAAAGGGATTCTGTCGGGCCTCAAATTTTCTGGCTCATCGAGGAGTCCACACAGGCGAGAAACCATACCGATGTGATGTGTGTGGTAAGCGCTTCAGACAGAGATCATACCTTCAAGCCCACCAGAGGGTCCACACTGGAGAGAAACCGTATAAATGTGAGGAATGTGGTAAGGTCTTCAGTTGGAGCTCATACCTTCAAGCCCATCAGAGAGTCCACACTGGAGAAAAGCCATACAAATGTGAGGAGTGTGGGAAGGGCTTCAGTTGGAGCTCAAGTCTTGTAATTCATCAGCGAGTCCATGCTGATGATGAGGGTGATAAGGACTTTCCCTCCTCAGAGAATTCATATAGGAAAGAAGCTCTATAAAAGTTTATATACTAATACTTAAAATGGGTGCTGAAATAGTCCAGTTATCGGACCTGTTATAGAAGACAAAACACTTGTTTCATAAAAGAGTAAGCGAAAGCTTGGCATTTCACATGGTTCGGTGGCCACACAGCAGAGAAACCTTGTGAGTGGACACATAAGGATTTGATTCAGAACCTTGATGTTTAGCAGACATACACAGAAGAGAGGCTTAGGAAGGACGGGTGCGATCTGGAGTTAACCAGAAGTACTAAGGTGGAAATGTCAAATCTGTTCCATTAGAAGATAAGCTCCAAGAGTGTAGGGATTTTGCTGACTGCCAAATCTACTCTGTTCGGTGCCTAACACCTTGTAGGTGTTCAGTAATGGTAAATGAGTAAATGGGAGAAGATCATTTGATATTTGTATTCAGTTTATCTCAAATTTCTATAAAATGTACTTAGAAGAGGAATTCTGCCAGGCTCAGAGGACATTTAAATTAGACACACGAGCTCATTTTCCCAACCCTGAAGGTCCTGTGAACTACTACTTATCAACCTTTAGTGGGTCCAGAAATCAATTCAGTGGGTTGTGACCAGCACTCCCATAAACTGTTGTATGCTAACAATACTTTATTGAGGTATAATTTGTATGCAATAACATGGCTAAAGCTCAAGTTTACAGCTTCATGAATTTTGACATGTATACACTTGTGTAATTATCAGCAAGATGAATGTATACAGTATTTCTGTTAAACCAGAATGTTTCCTTGTGTACATTTCCAGTCATTCTCACCTCCAGTGGCAAAAAGTATTAGATGTCTATACCACATATCACAGGTTTGTTCTTGAGCCTCATATGGGTTCAGTATGTACTCATGTCTGAATCCTTTGGATCAAATATGTGATCATGAGTAGATTCAGAGGGCGCTTGACAGAATTCAGTATCCATTCATGATAATTTCTCAGTGAAATAAAAGGCCTCTGGAAATTCTACAATTCTAACATTCTTGTATTATTATTAAGGAATTTACATACAGTAAAATCTACTCTGGTGTGTCAGTCAGTGTTGTGGCAAATGCTCACTATTATATTAGCACCATCACAATGAAAGCATTTCGGAATCCAGCACCCCTTGCCCTGAATTTCCTTTGTACTCCGTAGTCAGCCCTTCTCCCTATCACCCCTCAGCTCTGACAACCACTGACCTGTTTTCTGTCAGTACAGTTTATGTTTTCCGGAATGTCCTATAAATGGAATCATACAATATGTAAACTTTAGAGTCCAGCTTCTTTCACTTAATGCCTCTAAAATTAATTTCTTTCACTTAAATTAAGGCTCTGAGATTCATCAAATGATATGTATATCAGTAGTTGTTCCATTTGTTGCTGATTGTATGGATGTGCCATGTTATTTATCCCTTTATGACTTGAAGGATATTTGGGCTCCCAGTTTTTCATGAATATGGAGAAAGCAGCTATAAATATTTCCATACAAGTTTGTGTGTCAACACAAATTTTCTTAATAAATATGAGTGGGATTGCTGCATTGTATAGTAAAAATATGCTTAACTTTGTGAAAAGCTGAAAAATGTTTCTAAATTGGGTATGCTATTTTGCATTCTGACTGTCAATGCACATCAGGTTTTATTATTATCATTATTATTATTATTATTATTATTATTATTATTATTATTATTATTATTTTGGCATTTCAGTAGGTTTTTAGTGGTATCTTGCTTTGGTTTTAATTTACGTTTCCCTAATGATTGTGGGAGCATCCTTATATATGAATGCTTGCTATCCATATATATTTTCTTCAGTGAACTGTTTTCTTATTTTTGGCTTTTGAGAGTTTATATGTTCTGGATAAATGTCCTTAGTTGTGTGTTTTGCAGATATTTTATCCCTATGGGTGGTTTATGTTTTTATTAACATTTTTCACAAAGCAGAAATTTCATTTTTGATGAAGTTCAGTTTTGTCTTCCATAGATTGTGCTTTTGGTTTCAGATATAAATACTGTCTAATCCAAGGTCACAAATGATTTTTCCCTTTTTTTTTTTAATCCAGAAGTTTTATAATTTCAACTATTACATTTAGGTTTAAGGTCCATGCTAATCTTTATAAAGTGTGAGGTCGTCTGTTTTTTTGCATTTGATCATCTAATTCTTTCAACATCAGATTGCTTTTGCACCTATGTGAAAAAATCTATTAATCATATATATCTGGGTCTTTTTCTGGCCTCTGGTTCCATTAATCTATGCGTTATTTTGCCAATACATAGCTTTATATAGTACATCTTGAAGTCAGTCTGAGTCTTCCAACTCTATTCTTCTTTTCCAAAATATTTTGGTTATTCTAACTTGATTGCTTTTCTATAATTTTTAGAATCACCTTTGTGATTTTTAAAAATAAACTCTTGCTGGGAATTTTACTGGGATTGCACTGACTATAGTTGAATTTGGGAAATTCGTCTTGGGACATCTTAGCAATATTGGATATTCTAAACCATAGAAATGGTATATCTGCCTATTTGTTTAGGACTTTTAATTTCTTTAATCAGTAATCTATAATTTTAAGCATATAGATTGTACATATATTTTATTAGTTTTATACCTAAGTACTCTGTTTTTTGGTGGTAAAGTAAATGGTACTGTTTTTCAAATTTCAGTTTCCAGTTCATTGATAGCATATAGAAATAGAGTTGATTGTTTTATGTTAACCTTGTATCCTACTATCTTGCCAAACTTGCATATTAATTAAGGTAGTTCTGTAAGTTCCTTGGGATTTTCTGTGTAAACAGTCATATCATCTGCAAAAAGTTTATTTTTCCCCGCCAATTAATATGCATGTTATAGCAACTCTTCTCAAATATGAAGATACTCTACCCGCCACCTCCACCCTCAAGGTTAGATTTGGATCTCAAAACTCATGATAGTATTCCATCGGTATGACCAAAGGTAGAGGGGATGGCTGTCCAAGAGAACGCACAAAACAGAGGGAGAGAGAACAGTCAATATTCAGTCATTTTATAGAGGGGAAGTCCTGCCTGCACAAGATATAAAAGACGTGATGAGAGGGTGCGTTCACTTTGGAAGCAGTGGGTGAAACTTGTCGGAAATGTGAAGAGGAGGTGGACATAGGCATGAGATGAGGCTTATAAACTGCTGACACTAAACACGACGTTCAAACTCCTTTCTTGTGGTCTTCACAATGTGCTCCTGACGTTTGGACTAGCTTGGCAACCTCCCAAGTATTCGTGCAAATAAACTTTTGTTTGAGAGGCAACATTTGCAAAGTTGACTCAAAATAATTAGGCCCATACTTATTATAACTCCCTGAAAGATAATGCGGGGCCAGATACTATTAATATAGGAAAGAGTCAAGAGGTAAAGTCAATGGGAGCCCAAGAAATTGTGGAGCATTTTAGGAATTTAGTAAAATCATTGACTTTTAATTGTTTTATCTGTTGAGCTAGAGACCTTTCCTGCGTTATTGACTTAAATGTAACCAGAGGTTTACTTCAAAGGTCTACCTTGAGATGCCAACACGTAGTCTAATGCAAGATTACTGACTCCCATAGCAGCTACAAAACTTTCTCTTTCATAGAGGGTTTCTAGATCTTGAGCTATTTGGCATATGTGGTTTACCAGGAATTGTGACATTGTTTGGCTGGCCTCTAAGTGCTAAGCTTGGCTACAGAACTGAAAAGACCTAGACTTGTACTTATTATACCAAAGATTGTGACAAGGCTCAATTTGTAATAGGTTAAGATAAATGGCCTGTGTATACCATTTTGTGGGAAGGGCATACATCAGTGTATACATGTGGGGACCATATAGTTTCAATAGCTGTATATAGTATTGATTGTTGGTAGAGGCCAGGAAAAGCATGGAATTTGCTAAGGGGTAGTTAATGAGGAAGAACCTGGTGAGATTAGAAGGTATCTGGGGAAGTGAAGGAGGCAGAGGGTAGCCAACGAGGATGGTGAGTAGTTAATATGGAGAGCAGAGCCCCAAGGGTGTGGGATTTAGTTGGGTAAACGGTAACCCAGACTGGAGTGCCTGGTGTCCAGCATCGATGGGAGTGGTATCTTTTGGATAGCATGTTTTATTACTGTTTTATAAATAGTGTCCAGCCAGTGGAGGCAAGTAGGAAGTGGTGTGATGAGGGAATAGTGGCAAGTGAAGCATGAATTGTTGGGCAGGGATCGGAGGGGATGTGGCTGTGGGGGTCATAGTGGAGAGCCGCGTGGGACTGGTTTGCATGTCCAGATCCAAACTCTTAAGCGTGGAAGGAGGTAGAATTTCAGACCTTTGTGTGGGGATAATTTCACCCAAAGGTGAAATTCAGTGGTGGGGCACCAGGGCGTATAAATTGGCTAATTTGCACGGGACTAGCTTGCAGCAAAAGGGCAACACATGAAGAAGGAATAGAATGCATCAAGCTCAAAACTAAATCTTCCTGGGTGTTCTTTGGTGCGTTGGAGTAGATAATGGACAATGGTAGATCCTCATGTGCCTCATCAGGGACTGGGCATGTTTTAGGTAAGTAAGGTCCTGCCAGTGAACTTCAGGCTCTTGTAGAGAGTGCTTACACGGTGTAGGAGAGGAGAATGGAGGTTGCAGAGACATAAGCAGACAAAGTGGGAGCTTCACTTACGTAGTCTCCAGTAATCTTGGCATGGGCTAGGTTGGGAACAAAGTGTAAGCAAGGCTGCATAGATTGAAACAGTTGGTCAGAAGAGCTGTATGGTGGGCTTGGAGCATCAGAATCTTTATCTGATGGGCTCTGGCATTAAATTGTGATAGAACATTGTAAGGTGTCACCATCAAGACTGGAACTGTCAGTTGTGCTGAAATCATTTGGGATGCTTTGGTCTCCTGGAGTGAGATACTCATCCCTGAGCTGATGGTTGTTATCTGTGCTGTCATCTGTGGTTGACTAGTGTAAGGACCTTTGTGTAGTAGATTATGGAGACTCCTAATATGAATCCTGGGCTAACTCCAAAACCTCAAGGCAGAGTGCTACATTTGAAAAATTATTGCAAAAGTGACTGAAGACCATGAGATGCTCTGGGGGCACATTTGGCTATATGTTAGGTGAGCACATATGCAACACATAGAATTTACCTAGCCCTAAGATCACTATCTGTCTACATAAACATCTTGTCTTCTGTCCTTTTTGCCTCCAGTTGTTAGTGAGTAAATACTGAAAATGACCTGTAGGTAAATGGGTGAATGTATATTGGGGTCCTTCAAAGGTAAATGCAAATTGTGCCTGTGATACTGGAGAAATGGGAACAGAATAAAACATCCTAGCTAGACCAATAGCTGTAAAGTAATTTCAATAATATTTGGTGTAGGGCCTTAATTGGATGTAGCACTGTATTGAAATTGTGGTAGTCTGCCTAAAGTGACATTCATTTTCATTGGGTTTAAGGATGGGCCAAATAGTGCTGTTGAAGGGAGACATGGGAATGAGGATTTCTTTTGCCACCAGTTATTAAAATATAGGTCTTAAAATTCCTTAAAATTAAAAACGATTGCTTAAAATCTTTAATGAGACATTGTGGGGATGTTTACAAGTGTAATAGGGAATGGCAGATTCCCAGAGGTCCATTTATAATGGTCAATTGTAAGATCCTGGATTGAACTTCTGAACAGTTTTTACTCACAACATGTCTGACACCACGTGTGGGGTTTTCCATACCACTTCAACTCTCTGAAACCACCTGGATGTCGAGTGATATAATTCAGTTCTGACACTAACTACCCAGAGTTAGCTTCCAACCCCACTGGATAAAGGCTTGGTCCCACAAGACTGCCCCCCTTCAGACTTCAATTTCAAGCCCTGGGACTCCCATACTTCTAACAGGCTAGTTATAAATTGGGGATTCTCACAAACTCTTCGAATAATTTGCTAGAACAACTCAGAACTCAAGAAAAACAGTTTACTTGATATTATGTGATATAAAGGATACAGCTGAGGAACAA